AGGCCACTCAGATTCCAAGAATGGAGTCATGAGCTGAGGCACACCACCAGTGTTTTTAAAAATTAATGACAATAGTTTGGAATCCAGGAAGATAAAACAAGAGACCAAAGCAGAAGACAAGGAACATTTTGGGGTGAGATGCTATGAAAGGAAGCTTAGGACAGAGGACAGGCAGGGCAGAGAGAGAGTGTTAGGATCCGCAGCAGGAACGGGACTGTCCATGACCCATCTGTAAAAAGAAGCTCAGGACTAGGGAAGGAGGCAGGCCGAGGTCAGAAGGGTGATCATAGCCCTCCCCCCCAGTAGAAATGGGGACTCAGGAGAAGGCGCCTCACCCTTCACCAGAGCCCTCAGCACCACTGTCTCGAACTCCTCGGGACCATCATCAGAAGAATACACGGTCAGCATCTCCCGACGAGCCATGATCCTCTCTATCTGTGCAGGATGAAGGAGAAGGTGGGGTGGGCAAAGACCTTTATCCCCAAGGCCCTGGGAGGCTCTGAGCCCAGCCTCCCCCCCCCCAGGATACCCTGCCCCTAGGAACCCCCATATATGAATAGCAGATGAGCTTTCTGAAGGCAGGAATGGTTTCATTTTTGACTATGAACCTTTTGGGAAACAGGCTGGGTTTTCTTCCTAAAATTTACTGGATCTATTAGGTGCCAGATAAAGACAGGAAATTCAGGGAGCTGGAAATTGAAGTGGCTGAGGCTTTTAGGACAGAGACAGTTGCTTAAGGTCATTCAATGTATGTAGAGTTGAGAGCCCCTCATACCTGGGCCCCTCAGCCCCTCATAGCTGAGCCCCTCAGCCCCTCATAACTGAATCCTCTAGTCCCTCACACCTGAGACCCCCAAGGCCCTCATACCTGGACCCCCCCAGTGCCTCATACCTAAATCCCCCAGTCCCTCACACCTGAATCCTCCAGCCCCCATACCTGAGCCCCAATGGCCTCAAGGTCACCGTTAGGAAAGAAGCTGCGGATGCGTTCAGTGATGCTTGCACTTGGGGTCCCAATGGAGGGAGAGGACTCCCCCACAGCCTGGGCTTCTTCCAACATCTCAGCAAGACAGTCAGCAGCCCCCCCAGAACCTGCCACTAGCAGGCAGGGCAGCTGAGCCTTGGTGGCTTCTTCCACACGCTGGGGAAAGTGGGTTTGGGGACTAAAGGTTCTTAGATGTTTAGGCCAACTCCTACCCTCCTTGGAGAGTCAGATACTCTGACTCCAGCTTCACCCCATCAAGGACCTATGAGTCCCCTTTGCCAGCTTCTGCCCTTTGAGGATGCAGGCACACTCTCCCCTAGCCTTCACCCCCTTGGGGCCCCAGGCATCCCTCTCCCAGCCTTCACCCCCTCAGGGATCCAGGTTACTCCTCCTCCAGCTTTCACCCCCTCAGGGACCCAGGCACCCCTGCCCCCAGCCCTTACTTCCTCAAGGACCCAGGTAGCCCAACTCCCAAATACCTGTAGCATGTTTTCGTTTCCATCAATGAGGAGAAGGAGGACAGGGATGTCGATTCCCGTGCCTGAGGAGAGATGAGAGCAGATGGAGTTCTGGAGTCCTGGGTTCCCAGACACCATCCCAGCCAGCCTCTGAAGAGGGATGCCATCGCCACACTCCCTCCTGGAAGCCGCCCAGCCTGAGTACCTGCTGCCTTCTCAACTATTCTGGCCGGGGAAGGGAGGACGGGGCTCACCTCCAACCCCAGTCTTTTGCTGGGAGATGTAGGACTCTAGCTTGGCCCGGAAACGGGTCTCGCCCCCAAAGCGTCCATAAGTCCCATCATCCACCAGAAAGAAAGCGGAGTAGTTATAGTCCAGGGAGTACTGGGTATCATCCTCAAGATCTCCTCGCCAATTGTACTGAGCAGGGAACAGGCCCTGGGCAGGGAGGTACCACACGGAGAGCCCTGGAATCCCCCTTCCACCCTGAGAGCCCCAGTCCCTCCCTGAGGGGCAAAGGGAAGGACCCAGGTGTTCAGAGCAGGGCCTCACCTTGGGGCTGATGAGCGCCTCCCTCCTCCTTACTACACCCCAGGGGGCCACGCCCATGGCCACGACCTTAGTGGAACCTGTGCCCGCTGTATTGTGGTCCTGCACGGCCACCCCGACGTGGCGACCGATGCCAGTGTGGAGCCCCTCAGTCACAATCCAGGCCCCTGAGTGGGAGGAAGCCCCCAAGGCCCAGGGGTCAGGACTAGCCTCCTTGCGCACTCCCCTCTGCCTCTCCTCCCTCATTCCCCTATCACACACCCTGTCGGAGAGGGACTGAGTCACGCAAAGGCAGGAATGTGACTGGGACTAATGTGACTCAGGAGCCTTCTCCTCCAACTCCCAGGTTGGACAGAAAGGGAAATAGAGGAACAGGGGAACTGAAGCAATTTGCCAAAGTGACCCCAAGTCAGAAGCACAATTTGAACTCGGGTCCTCCAACTCTGGTATCACTGTGCCATGGGAGCTAGAAATGGGAGTGGGGATAGACGGGGATGGGTGGGCACTAGGGTACACCAGGCAGGAAAGAAGCAGAGGAGGAAGAGAGGACTCACCCGTGCTGTGGGCAGCCCTCATCAGCCCTCCACGCAGCAGGTCCCTGATCCAAGGCAGCAGCACGGGTCCTCCGGAGCCCCCCAGCACAGACACCACAAGGTTGGGGGGCGGGAAGCCCCAGGTGCGAGTGACCAGGGCGTAGGCTGCTGCTGGGTCTGTGCGGTCAGACAGACGAATGAACTGCCCAGGGAGACAGACATGACACGGATGGCGCTCACCCTCTGCCCCAAGTCACTTCTCCCCTCCGTTCCCCCCACCCCAACGGCTAGCTAGACCTTGGCAACTGCTTTGTCCAGTGGGGCTCTCCCCCCTCCCCACAAGGTCCTGGAGCCTGATTAACCTGGGAGAGAACAGAGGCTACACGGGCAGTAGGGAATATCAGGGGGCCCCAGGAGAACTGTGGAGAAGTCGGGGGGGGGGGACGGCACCTTGCTGAAACCTCGCCCAGCACCATGGAAGTCCAGGTCTCCATAGGCATCAGTGGGCCGTTCTGTGGTGTGGTGATCCCCATCCCACACTGTGACCACAGCAGCTCCGAAGGCGTCTTCCACAGCCACCGGAGGGTGAAACTCCCGGCGGCGACCACACTGGCATCGGTTGCCCCTGCATGGGTCAGAGAAAGGGACGCTTCGACTCAGGGACTCACGTAGCCAGGGACCCTCGGACTCAGGGACTCAAGAACCCAGGGACTCAGGGACCCAGGAGCTCCCAGGTTCAAGGACACGGATTGGAGAGTCCAGAGGCTGCCACAAAGGCGCCGGTCATACCAGGCACTGACTGCCTGCTCAGACCAGGTTCCAGCACTTCCCTGATGGGGGACAACAGATGAGATCTCAAAACTCCTGAGTTCAGCCTTACCCGGGGTCACTGAGATCGGCCACAAAGGTTGTACAAGTCTTCTTCTTGAAGATTCGCGGGACCCAGCTCTGGGGAATGGGGTAGAGACAGGCTGAGGATGGGAACCCTCAGACATCCTCAGATCAGGCTTCCTCAGTGAGCCCCTCCTCAACCTCCATCGATCGATCAACGAAGGATGCAGATGGCCAAGCCTTCTCTTCTAGGGCACCCAGGTGTCCAGGTGCCAGCCCTTCCCCGCCTCCCTCCCAGATCAGGGCATCCATGCCCTCAGATACTCTCCCCTTCCCCTAGAGGACCAGGGTGTTTGGGCACCTTGCTCCTTCAAGGACCGAAGACTAGCTGGTCGCTCAAACCCGCAATCTGGGATTCCTGTAAAGGACTTGACCAGTACCTGCTCCTTCTCAGGCCCCGCCATGTCTCCTGCTGTCTCCGCAGTAGCCTCAGCCTCACCCTCCGCAGCCCTGCCCAGCCCAGAACCGGCTCCGTCACATCCCACCCCACCCCCGTCTGCTCAGGCTCTAGCCTGCCTCCTCCAGTCCTCCCTCCCAGGAGGCGGGGACGGGGCGGGGGCGGGATCGAAGGATGGCCCAGTACATCTCTGTCCCTGGGAGAGAGAGGCTGAGATGGACCCACAGACGGAGGGGAGAGAGACTGAGGAAGATCTGAAAGAGCAGAGAAGGACCATTGTGGGTGGAGGGAAGGAGGGAGAGGCATAGAAACATGGAAGAAAGCAGAGACTGAAACAGATCCAGAAATGCTGAGAGACAGTCGAGACAGAGGAGGCTTCTGGGCCTCAGTTTCCCTCCTGGTCCAATGATAGAGTTGGGCTCCAAGATCACTGAGCCCCTGAATGGCTCCAGGTGCAAAGTTCAGCCAGAGCCAGGGACCAAAGAAAGACAGAAACAGGGAAGGGAATCAGCATGTATAAAGTGCCTAGTATGTGCTGGTCACTGTGCTAAGTGCTTTACACATATATTATCCTATTCAATATAACCCTGGGAAGTAAGTGCTATTACCATCCTAATTTTACAGTTGAGGAAACTGAGGCAGGTAGAGGTTAAATGACTTGCCCAGCGTCACACAGCTAGTAAGTGTCTGAGGTCTTCCTGACTCCATGTCCGGTATTCTATCTACTGCACCACTGGCTGCTTCAGAAAACACAGAAAAAGACAGAGACAGTGAGGCTGAGGCCCCAGGCCCAGTCCCAGGAAGGGAACAGCTGAGTCCCTGTAACCAGACCCTGCTCACCTGCCCATGCCCTTATGCTGAGGGTATTTTTAACTTATGCCCACTGAGGGCTCTCAGCTGGAGAGGACAAGAGGGCCACAGGATGTCTGAGCTGAACTCATCTCTGGCCTCACCCCTGACCCCTACTTGGGGCTCCTAGCCTGGATCTGACTGTGCCACTAGCCTGGGGCAGGACATCCCCCTTAACCCCAGAGATCTCTCCTTCCCCAAAACCCCTGGATGTTGGCCCAGCTTGAGGCCCAGGCAGGGAATATACAAGGAGAGGAGGGGAGGGCAGGGCCTGGGGCCAGTCCCAGAATAGACACCGCCTTGGAGGTAAAATTAGCCCAATGAGAGGGTGGGGGCCGAAACTAGCCCACTGAGGCTGAGCTCAGAGGGCATCAGGATCTGGAGGAGACAGAGACCCAGAGAAAGGCAGAGTCAGAAAGCAACAGCCAGTGATTGCTAGAGAGACAGAGGAACTGCCGCAGCCCCAGAGGGTCAAGGAAACTGGCCAGGGAGAGGCAGCAGGCTGAGAAAGCACAAAGAGACAACAGAGGCAGAGACAGAGAGCGGAACCCCAGCCTGGGCCCGCGGTTCCGGCTGACCTCATGGGTCCCCTTTGGCCAGGTGTTCGCTGCAGCCTCTTCCTCCTCTTGCTGTTGACCTCCACAGCCCCGGGGGGCCTCTCCAGAGCCCAAGCCCAGGCCTTCCCCGATGCTGCCCTGAGTCCTCCTGGAGGCCCCGAGGATGGAAGCCAGCCCAACTACGTGGCTGCTCCCGGCCACAGTCCAGGGGACCACAGAGAGGAAGAAGAAGACACCTCAGCTGGGGCTGGGCTCTGGGGGGCCCATCACGAGGAGGCCGAGCACAGCCACCCTGAGGACATGTCTGTGGAACACGGGCACTGGGGGGGAGAAGAGGAGGAAGAAGAGGAGGAAGATGCCTCCAATGAGCAGAGGACCCAAGGCCATGAGGATGAGGACAAGGACGAAGATGATGATGTCGATGACGACAGTAAGAGTGCCTCACAGGAGGAGGACTCCTGGGGTGGCCACAAGCCCCAGGCCCCAGAGGAGGAGGAGGAGGAGGGTGCTTCCACAGAGCATGGTGACAGGGACTTTGGGGACCGAGGACACGAGGAGGAAGAAGACACGTCAGCAGAGCTCGAGTACTGGGTAAACCACAGGGATGACTCCATAGAAGAAGAGCGCCTTGGCCCAGTCTCTGCCAAGCCTCCAGGCCAGGAGGAGGAGGAAGAGGAAGAGGAAGAAGGGGAAGAAGAGGAGGAAGAGGAGGAATACTCTGCAGCCCAGCACAGCCACTGGGGAGACCCTGAAGGCAGCAGGGGGCCCCACAGCCAGGAGGAGGAGGAGGATGAAGCAGCTCAGCACTGGAGGGGGGCCCAGAGTCACAGCCAGTCAGAAGAGGAGGATTCTGCCGAGAGTCAGGAGGACCACCGAGAAGAGGGCAGCATCTCTGCTGAGCGTGACCGTGAGCCTCTGGGCCCTCAGGAGGAGGAGGAGGAGGAGGAGGAAGGCACAAACACCTCTGTGGAGGAGGGAGGGCACTGGGGAGGTCTGAGGCTCGGAGCCCAGGAGGAGGAGGAGGAGGAGGAGGAAGGCCACAAGAGAAGCCAGGAGGAGGCTGAGCACCAGGAAGTCTCCTCTGTCCAGGAGTCCTTGGGGGTTGAGGTCCCAGGTAAGGACGAAGAAGAGGAAGCTGAGGCCGGTGTCCCAGAGGCCAGAGACAGCTCTGAGGAAGCGGCAAGCGGGGCCCCTGGAGAGGAGAGCCTGGAAGACATCAGTGAGGAGAAGGAGGAGGCCGGAGGCCAGGGTGAGCGATCACGCGACCAGTGTGGGGCACAGCAGGGGGTGGGGACAGACCGAGACGTCTCTGTGCCATCTTTTCACAGGCCAGGAGGAGGGCGAGGAAGAGGAGTACCAGCCTGGCTCCCTGTGCCATTACTGCGGCTTCTGCAAGGTGCCTGAGTGTGTGTATGTGTGTGTGGGGGTCCCCGTCCTTGCTGGGCTCCGTGCTTTCCCGTGGAGCAGGCCCGAGACCCCCGCCTGGCGCCCCGTGTGGGAGCCGATCTGCGGTCGTTACCATGTCTCTTTATCACTATCTCTCCGAGGCTCCGGCTCCTGGAAGCCGCTCTTTCTGTGTGTCAGCCTGTGTGTCTCTGTCTCTTGTATGTCTCTGACTCTCCGTGTCCCACCACCCCCTCCCTTCTCCTCAGAGATGCACTGAGTGCGAGTCCTGCCGCTGCGACGAGGAAAACATGGGAGAGCATTGTGATCACTGCAAGGTCAGAGACCACTCCTCCCTGCCCCACCCCCAGGCCCGCCCAGCGGGCCTGGCTCCTCTCACAGCCCAGTCTGTCTCTATTCCCACCAGCACTGCCAGTTCTGCTATCTCTGCCCTCTACTCTGCGAGACGGTCTGTGCCCCTGGTGAGCAAGGGCATTGGGGGTGGGGCTGCTCTGGAGGCGGGGCCAGGAGGCTTCTGGACGTTGTGGGGAGGAGCCTCCTGAGGAGGGTGGGGCTGCCCTGGAAGAAGAGGCATGGACAGAATTCTACTGGGGGCGGGGCTGATCCGGAGGCGGGGCTACTCTGAAAGCGGGCGCAGAAGGTCTCTAGACTTCTAGGAAAAAGCCTCCTGGGGGCGGGGCTGCTCCGGAGGCAGACCAGGAGGTCTCCCTGAGGATAGGGCCGCCCTGGAGGCGTGGCCAAAAGCTCTCTGGGGAAGCTGTTTGCATGTTCACTGGAGGAACGTCCTTGGGGGCAGGGCTTCTCAGGGGGCGGGGCCAGATACCGCTCTTCGTAGGAGGAGCCTCCCTGGGGTTGGGGCCCCAGGTGTCCAGATGCTGACCGCAACCCACCTGTTAACCTTAGGAGGCTACGTGGACCACTTCTCTTCCAACCTGTTTCAGTAAGTGCGAATGTGGCTGGGACTGTGTATGAGGGGGCGGGTGGGAGAGGGCAAGGCCCAGACCTTACCCGCCTCTGACCCCCCCCAACAGAGCCTTGACGGAGATGGTGGAAACTCCAGAGTCGTGATGAACTTCTGGACAAACAGCAACCCCCACTCCCGGCTCCACCCACTTATTTATTATGAATAAACCCTATCCTTGCAGGAGCGTGCAAAGGATTTCTGGGATTATGGGTGAGGATCATCTGGGGTTCTTCCCCCAAAGAGGGAACAGCTGCCTGGATTTTTGAGGGGAAGGGGCGAACCCAGGGGTCCCTAGGAAATAAACGAGCGGAGGCGGGTCTTTTGAAACAGTTTTCTTTCACCAAGATCACTGACATCTGAGGTGGGGGCACGAGGAGGGAGGGGGCCCACGGCCCACCCCCTCCCCTGCCCTGGCGGATTCTCCCATGCAAAAACAAAACAAACAAAAAAAAACAAAAACAAAAACAAAAAAAAACGGAGCCCGCAAGGAAGATCGGGAACAGGGCGGGGGGGAGACACCTGGGTTCCTTCTCTCCCTCCATCCCACTCCCCAGAATAACAGGTTAGGGGGAGGGGAGGACGAGATCCAGGGAACGCGAGACACACGGACGGGGAAAGGGGCCCCCAAGCCCCACCCCAAAAATGCCTGCCTGGATAATCGGGACCCTGAGGCGTCCCGGATAATCGGAGAAAACGAGGCTTCCAAGTTCCTCCCCCTCACCCCCAAGGAAGGAGAGAGGGAAAGAAAGGAGGGGGCGGGGCCTGTAGCAGCGAGTCCCCCGCGGGGGCGCGCCTGGGAGGACCGGGGCCCCGGGGCTGGAGGGAGGTGCGAGGACAGTGGAAAGGAAGGAGCGGGGTCAGGCCCCGCCCCGCCCCCAGCATGCGGCCCCCCCCGAGGAGGCGGGGTTGTGTCCCCTCCCCTCCCCACTCGGAAACAAATAAATTACAAAGTAGCAAAAGGGAGGAGGAAGATTCCAAACTGCCCCCTCCCTTCCCGAAATCCAGTTCACATGGATTGGCCAGAGGCTGACAAGCCTCTTCCTCCCGGTCTGTACAAAATGGTTCAGTCCAGAGAGCCCCTCTAAGTCTCTCCAAACCCGGTCCCCTTCGGAGGGCGAGTCCATTCTTCTAGGAGGAGCAGGGCGGACCTTTATCTCTCCCTCCTGAGGCTCCTCCTGGGCGCGCCCACCTGTACCGAGGAGGGGGGAGGGCAGGTCAGGAAGCTCGGAAGGCCGTGGCTCCGGGACTCCCGGAAGGCACCCTCACCTGGCTGAGAGCACTAACAAGAGTATGTCCGAACGGAGACTCCGCCATCCGCCCGCGGGCTCCCAGAAGGAGGTCCTAAGATTGAGGCAACAGACAAGGTCAGAAGGACCCTCTCTTCCTCCAAATTGCGAGTCAGTTGGTTCGATCCATTCCTACTCCGTCCCACCCCCTCCCAATCAGCAACTTTATTGAGTAATTGTTGTGTGCAAGAACCTCCTAGACGCCCAGGGAGTACAGTTTGGAGGAGAGGGATGGGTGCCCTCCCCCCCATTTCCTTGAGAAGCTAGTAAAAATGTCATTGAAAATTCCCCCGTGACCCCAGCAATCGATTTGCCAGGATACCATCTTCATGTCCCTCGCCTCACAGCACAGCTGAAACGGATTTACCGAAGCTATTTCCCCATACTGCAACATTGGACTCGCACAGAACCTCTCGCCCCCAACACACTTATCCTCCCGAGATTAGGGGTTCCTGGGTAGTCCCTTACTCCTCTCTTTCCTGCCTAGCCTTTCCTCACCCTGCGTTATCTCCCCCTTTTCTCAAAGGAATGACTGTTTTCAGAGATTAGACTCCAGGAATGTACCAGGTCCCCTAGCATTCCCTGCTACACCCGTCCAAGGTCCATTTCCCTCCACTAATAACGGGCTTTTCCGAGACCCGAGAGGCGCCTTGGGCGAGTCCATCTCCGCCCTAATGGGGGGAGCCCCGACAGGTCGTAGAGAACGCACCGTCGGGCTGCAGTTTGCGCAGAGGGAGGCCCGGCGAGCCCAAGGCTCCCGCGGCCGCGGAGCGGAAGTTGGGCGGCAGCATCTCAGCCGAGTCCGGGCTCACCCCGCGCAAGTCCTTCTCCCGGAACATCTTCCTCCACGACGGGGATCGGCTGAAAGACTTGGCGCTGTCCTGCGGAAGATAAGGGCCACAGGGCCACCGAGCTGGCTGGAGCAGGGGCGGCCTAAGCCCCGATCGCTCCCTGGCCCGCCTCCCCCCAGCGCCAAGCCTGGGGCCCCTACCTCGTCCAGCCTCCGGTCAGTGCCCATGGAAATTAGGTTGCCAAACTCCTTCTCCAGCAGCTGCCGGGCCTGCGGAAAGAGCGTTGAGGCGTAAGCAGGCCGCAGGCAGCCCTCGTGCTGGCCACGAGAGACCCTTCCCCCTCCAGGCTGGCGGCCGCCCGACCTGCGCGTTCTGTGTCGGGATCTGCAGCAGCAGGGCCAAGTCGGAGCAGTCGAAGGTCTCGTCCAGGGCCAGCAGCGCCCCATGCACGCCGCTCTCTGACAGGTTCCCAGCAAACTCCTTCAGCCCCAGGCCTGACACCCAGCCCATCACCCGCTCATTCGACCACACCATCACGTCTGAGGAACAAGGAGAGGGGCTTAAATGCCAACCCCAACCCAGCCCTCTCGGCTTTCCTGACATTGATTACTGACCCTTGGGGGGAGGGGGAACAGAGCCTTGAACGTTACCACCAGTGCCACTGCCCCTGCCCTGCCCATTGGACCACACCATTTTATTGGGGTGAGGGAGCCCAAAATGCTGACCCTGACCCCCTGATTCTCCTCCAGCTCTTTCAAACACTGACACCCATCCTCACTGGGCTTCACCCTTACCCAGCCACATCTTTGAATTCCAACACCAGCCCCCCCCCCAGCCGCACCTCTAACGTGGCTCTGACTCTCCTCTCGCCTCCGCTCGAGGTCCTTACGGTCATAGTTGAGCCTCTTCAGACACATGATGCCATAGTGCAGACTCACTCTGGGGAGTTTAGGGAGAGGAGGAGAGTGGTTAGGTCATACCAGGGAGTTGAGCCAGGAACAAATCCTTTAGGGGGCGGGGTCTCCTTAGAAAACCTCCCCATTGGCCATTCTTCCCCTAAAGGGTGGGGCTTGCACGAGGCTGTTCCCATTGGACACTGCATTCCCCCCCCCCGACTGCTTTTCGGGCGCTGATTCCCATTGGCCCCCGTACTCCCCCGTGGGCGGTACTTCCCAGGAGCTAGTTTCCATTGGTTACTGTCTTCCCAGGGGCATGCCTAGGCCGGCCCTCACCGGTGGAAGCTGTCTACCATCTTGAGCTGTCCTCGAAGTTCTTTCTTGTTGAGGTGGTCGAGCATGCGTGCATCTACTAAGGATTCCATGAAGTAGCTGCGGTACTGGGGCAGCCCCAGGCTGGGCAGCCAGTCGTTCCCCACCCATTCGTGGTTCATGTCGCCGTATGCCAGGATCTGGGGCCAGTAGGGAGTGGGGAGTGGGGAGTGGACAAGCTCAGGAACAAGGATCGGATGAGATGTCCAACATCTCCTCTTCTGCAATGGGACTTTCCAAGGTCTCCCCCGTCACAGGGCATGGAAAGGTCCTTGAGCTAAGTCCCCTCACACCTAATAGAACAGTCCACTGACTCCCCCATCAGTACAATGGGATAGTCCAGTTGGTTTAAAATTTCCCTCATTTCTTTCCTCACCACCTCCAAAACCCCTACCCCAGAAAAAAAAAATAGGCTGAGTCTCAATCTCGATAGCACGAGAGAATGAAGCTCGCTATCGACTGATCCACTACAACTGTCCTCCCAACCTACTAGTCATCTTCTCTTCCTACATTGTAAGGATCTTGACTATGGTTCCTACCAGCGCTTCTTCCCCCTCCACCCGTGATAATAATGGAACATTCCAGAGCTCAGGCACCATGCAACCCGCGGTGATATGATGATGGTTCAAACCAGAAGGAGCCTTCCCCCTCCCTCTAAGATAATGGAACGTTCCGCGGCACAGTAATACAGGCAGAGCAGGCGCATATAGATTCTGATGACAATGGTTCAGTCCAGAGCGTCTCCCTCCATTGCTTTCCTCTACACCGCCTCCCTCCCCCCCCCAGCCCGCGATGATAATGGAACGGCTCAGGCATGGGCAGGAGCGGGGAAGAGGTGGAGGAGCCATGCAGTCCGCGCTCAGGCGCAGACGGGATCACCTGCTCCCAGCTGATCTCCTTGGGCTCCTGGCGCGGCCGCCGCGGGGAGCGCGAGGGGAGGGGCGAAAGAAGGGGAAGGGGCGGGTTACGGTGCAGGAGGGGCCGGGATGGAGACCGGTCTCCTCCTCCTTCCTCTCCTCCTCCCCCGCCCCCTTGTCCCCGCCCTCCCTCTCTCCCTGGTAGACTCACGGGCTTAGTGGCTGCCGTGAGTGACTCCATCTCTTCATGGGTCATCCAGACATTGCCGGTGCACTGCGGGAGGGGGGTGGCATTGAGAGCATGGCCCCGGCCGGCCTGGCCCCTCCTTCCACCGTGGCATGAGACCAGGAGCATTCAGGGAGGGGCCGGGCCCTGGCAGACCCCTAAAGCGCTATGGAGGATTCGAGCCCAGTGCAACCCGTGGGAGATCCCTGAGCTCACCCTTTTCTGCCGGTCTCTGTATGCCATTGTGACCCTGTCTGGCCCTCTGGCTCTATTGTCTCGGGCTCTGCTTCTGTCTCTGTGTCTGCCTGGCGGATCATGGATTTTGAGCTGGAAGGGAGTCTTAACCACCTAGACCAAATCCCTCAATTTTACAAAGAAGGAAACTGAGATACAGTGAGATTAAGGGACTTAACCAAACTCACATAGATAAAAAGTGGCAGGGCCAAGATTTGTGCCTGCTTTCTCTCGGGGGCAGCTAGTGGTGCAGTGGATAGACGGCTGGGCCTGGAGTTAGGAAGTCCTAAATTCAAATCCAGCCTTAGACACGTTACTAGCTGTGTGACTCTGGAAAAGTCACTTATCTTCTGTCTGCCTCAGTTTCCTCAACTGTACAATGGGGATAATAATAGCACCTACCTCCCAGGATTGTAGTGAGGATTAACTGAGATCATATTTATAAAAAGCATTTAATTAAAAAGGTGAAGCATTACACCATTCCTGTCCTCACAGGGTGATTATTCCAAGGATCCCTAAAT